AATTGTTGTTATTGTAACCCGTGGAGATCTGCTTGTAAAATCTCTTTGGAGAGTAGCGAACTGCACTTGGACGTCGAGATTGAGGAATGGCCACAACCTCCTTATTGCATTCTCCTTACATTCTGCTCTCCTTATAGCCCACCACAATGTCTTCTTCATTTTAATTAGCTGATATAACCACGTTTCTTTAATTTTGAATACCTAAAGTCAGCAGAATGGTTAAGAGGATGAGCTGGATTTAGTCACAATGAAATTTTGAAAAAGTGAAGGAAGTTATTATCTGGTTGTGTAAATCAAAAGCAAGATTTCGTAATCATCCAGGGAAGTGATTAAATTACAGCTTGCATTGAGCATCATACTTTTTCTATTCGATTTTTTCATCCATACCAACACGACTGAATATGAATTCAGTTTTCTAAATATTAAGCCTAATATTAATATCTCAATTTCCTATTCTTAATGGATTATAATCATGGTTAGTAGTTTGTCTTTTTTTTTATTTATTCTTACAAAATTGGTTTAAATCGGTCCTACATACAGAGACACTGAGAAGTATGAAAAAGCATGCCTTCCTAGCAGTTCTGGTGCTTCTATACATGCGGTTCCATTGGTATCGATCACTGAAGTAGCGAGAAGTGGTGAAGGTCGATGTCTGTCGTGCCCTGAACACCACTAGAAGAAAGACCCTTAAATGGTTATTACTATTACTATTATTAAACTTCATAGATTATACGTACATGAAGAAATGTTTTGAGTGAAAAGTCAAAAGTTGTGATACCCTGCCGCTATTTATACACACGATGTCACCGCTATTAGCTTATCGAAATTCCCTGCATAAAGTCAAAATGGGCATTTACACTTTTTTCTGCTTGGCAATAATTTAAACATGTGTAATTTCTAGATCAATAAAACCTTAATCAACAAGTTCTTGAAAATTTAATAACAGTGTCCGAGTCAATATATTTAGACTAATTGCAAATCTTTAAGGACACTGTCTACAGGAACCCAAGCAAAGAAACTGCACATTCCTTCAACTCTTATTGTAGAAGTGGTGGAAAAGAGTTTTTTCTGTGATTTTCTAGCTTCGACTAATAGATGGAGCAGGTCCTTAGGACCTTATTTTTTTGACAGTCGGATTGATAATCGGTAAGTACAAAATATCTGTTAAATTAAATACACCAACAATGTTGGTTTAGTCTTAACTGTATTGATTTTTTTGTGGAATACGATATGTTCGTTGGTTATAGTTTTCTAAGCAATATTTCTGAGTCAATGTAGCATTATGTCATTAACCTTGGTATACAGAATATGATTATTAGTAGTATAGGAGTAGTTGGTTGGTTCGTTATAGTGACTGATCATTGTAACTTACCAGAAAAGTATCTAAGAATCAGATAATTTGTTTTAATCTCTTGCATTTAGCAGTCTCATATTACAATAATCTTTTCAGGACATTGTATGTCCTGTACAATTTAGTGAAGACACACGAGTTATGATATATTATTATAGTAAATAATAATGAAGTAAATAATAAGTACAAATATACATTAATTAATTTTTATATAAGAGAGGTCGGAAAAGATCCAATGAAGGTAATTAAAAAGATAGGCGCGACCCTATACCCCACGAATGGAAACGGACACGAAGAAGAAGAAGTAGAATTAAAGAGATAAATGAACAACTTTGTTAAATCCAAAGACTTCTAAATTTTGTACTTGAAAATCCTTACCTAAAACAATGCACTTATTGCCCGCGTATGAACCATTAAAGAAAATATATAATTGCTGTAGCAATCACAGTAATGATACTACGTCACAGTGATAACGACGTTGTCAGAATATATTATTCCACCTGTCCCTCTCCACTCCCGACCATTGGTTTTTATCTATAATTTTTATCTATTTTTAAATGAGTTTGTTTGAGAATGTTTTGCAGCAGGTTTCGCAATGTTTTGTGTGATTTTTTTTATTTATTTTTGTTTTTGCATTTTTAGTAATATTTTTTTTATATTTTGTTATGATTTCTATGGCACTTCATGCACATATGCGACTTATCACACTCAGTTCTATGTTGTACGTACGCTCGGGAAGTTAGTGTAATTATTTCGACTGAGTTCTGGTGTGCCTTTTTGGAATAATTAAAATTAATCATACGCCGTGTGGAGCATGTCACGTGGTCGTTGTAAGTTAAAATATTTGAATTTTTAATTTACATTTAAGTGAAATTTATGATATTATAAAGAACATTTTTTTATTTTCTTAACAGTAAGAGATTTGCTGTTATCAGCAAATCAAACGATAGAAATTTGTATAAATATTACTCAATCGAGTTAAAGATATGGGTTTAAATTTAGAATTTGGAAAATATGTTATTTTATGTATTATTTCCATAGAATTTATTTATATATTTCTAACTTAATGTGTTGTAATACCTTATATATCTTAGTCATGTTAAATTGTATAAATAATTATAATTCAAGTCAAATATAATCTAATAGAGTATCAGAAACACAAGCCTGACACTTGCAGTCCAACAAATTATATACAGACTATAAATTAATTAAAAAAAAATTAAACAATCCTATGATCACAGATGATGAGTACTTTGCAATACTCTAAAAACCGTTGTATGCTCAGTCAAATTTTAATAAATTAACTAAAAATTTTTGTTGTTGTCTTTTCATTTCTATTTGAACTCTTCTAAAAGCTTTTTTGCGTCAAGACAAGTCACATTTGACAAAAAAAAAATTAAAATTCAATACAACGATGTTTATTATTATATTAATTTTCATTCGGATGAACCTAGAGTCCATTTGATAGTGGGTTTATAAGGCGAAAATTTATATTTAAACACACATAAGCTTTTACTGGCACGTATTGTCTTAATTATTTAAACTGATCCTAATATGTGAATTCCACTTTCATATCACAGTTATCTTGGAAGATATGTAAAAATCTTATATAAACAAATGATAAAATGTTATGGTTTTAACACTTTAGTGTCGCAAACATTTTAGACATATCGCTGACTCATTTCAAAGGGTACTTTTTATTTTTATTTCTATAAAAAATCGTGTGCAATTACTGATAAGAGTATATTTATCAATGTGTTAACTCAAAACGCCGACATCAACACTCCCACTCTATATGTACTCATATATATAATATTATCTAACATTAATTAGCAATGTTAATGTAAAGGAAAATGAAATCTAAGCATAATAAAAATGTTTTCGTTGATAATTATTTAATTTGTATTTAAAAATTTTAATTGCGTGGGTCTTTAAAAATCTATAATAGTCCAGACTTTTACGCAATTATTAATAATATTTACATACACATTTTAAACTCAGTTTCCACTTAACAATAAAGGAGAGGGCTTATCTTTCTCGTAAATCTGTTTCGATTTTATTTTAATACTACATACCCACCATGTGAGATTTTAACCTACTAAAACTAGCTTTTAGGAAAAAAATGTAGAAGATTTCCACCACTGAAGCGGATGGCAGTGTGGGTAACTTTATTCCACTAATTAATGAGCAGCATTAAGATAATGAGGCTTAGTACCTAGAAGTCTAGGTTTAAGTAACGTAAAAAGCATTGAAATGGTATTGGGGGAAGGACGGTGGGTGGAAGATTTGAGCTTATGGCTCAAGTCCGGGGAGACGGGTTAGCTGTAGACTTTATGACCAGAATAGGTAGATATTATAAATAATGGTAATCCTATCATCATTCATGAGGATTGTGGTATTACTTTTGAGCACCTTTTAATGAACTCAATATATATTACTTTGCTGAGGATGTTTCTCACCTTTGTGCAGTTATTTCATTTGCCATATCATATCTTTGTACTCATCCGTACCCTAAAGTCCAGATCAATAATACATAACACTATTTAGTCAAATTCTCTCAAGTTTAAATTGTTAATTACATTGTTCCTAATACTAGATCTTTTTTAGATAGATAATTAAACTTAGAATTAAAAAAAAATTAGTTAATTTATAACTGATGTGATGCTTTAGCTTATAATATTCTTTTAAGCTAAGTTCAGTTTTTTGTGTTGGCAACAATTCTACAGCACTTTGTAGACTTTCCACTGAAAACTTACTCTGTTCTCTGGTATAGTAGCATGAGAATGAGTAGACATCTATTGATGAGAGTTAAGAAAGAGAAGGAAATAAAACAATGCATTAAGCAAATATATTATATTAAGCTTGATGACGACACTTGAAGACGTCTGGGTGCGATTGCACTTTAGTCACGATTAAAATTGAGACATATGACGAAACGTGATAAAAACTGTTTGTATAAAAATATAATATATAATTAGTTAATTTGTTTTTAAATTATATATATATGCAAATTATAGTACGAGTATTTTTTATATTTAACGCACGTGAAATGTGGGAAACCAAATGTTACTATAAACATTTTGTTAGTCTTTGGCTAGGGAACGTGCTTTTTTTTAATTTTTATTTATAATTAAATTAAGTAAATAAACAATTAACAGTTTAAAATTAAATTACTTACATGCTGTATAAAATATATTACTTTTTCGCATATTTAATTGTAAAGATACTTTTTGTTTTTGGTTTGATTATTTTGTTATTGCGAATGTAGGCGTTGATAAAAGCTTTCAAAAGAAGCACAATCTACATTATTTTAAATTTTTTAAATTATAAAAATCAGTTAAGGAAAAAGTATATTTTTTTCAATTCATGCATAAATTTAAATCTGAGATCTAACGATATTTACTACGTATATGAGACTTTTTCCATTAAGAAGCGGCAAAGATCTCTGTATCTCATAAAGCTATTTTGTTTAGCCGCGTCAAATATCTCACAACAGGTTAGAATGTGGTGGTTCGATTCAATTTACTATCACTTTGTGGAACTCTCAAACATAACTAATCATAACACATAAACGCCTTGCTCTTTCTCTTTGGCGGAGATCAGTCTTTCGCATATTTATGAATTTAGTATCTCATCGCTTGCCCATAGAGGCAAACCTGTCCGGTGCCGTGTAGTTCCATAACGCGAAACGTTAGTTGAGCTTCCAAGTCGAAATTAGTGTCTCGGTTGTTGGTTTTATGCTGTGAGTCAGTTTAATTGTTTTCGTTATTCAATATATACATTCTTCCATGTGAGATACAAATACAGTATATAGTTATTATATACACAAAGCAACTCACACAAAGTTCATAATATAAATGCTCCAATAATGTGTTGTTTTGCAATTAGTTACTAATTATTATTTATAATAATAAAAAAGAAGGCGTTAATTGTTTTGCGCAAGCGTATCCGTAAACTTTACCGTTTATATGAGTATCTTGCAGATATAAATACGTACGCATCTTTAAATCAACAACTACCAACAAATTAAAGATACAATAGTGAACAATTAATGTGCGTATTGGTGCAGCATTTCACATCATTTTACAATTAAAGTTTCAATGAATTTACGTAAGTCTTAACTAAACTTGAGTTTTATTGTTTTAGTTTAAAATGTATCTGTATCTGTATCTGTAAAAGTGTTTTATCTATCACCTTTGCCATAATCGTGCCGTTTTGCAATATGAAATAGTATTTCCTACTACTCTACGGTAGAAATGCGATTTCTTTTTCGTTTCTTTTAACTTCAGTAAACTCTTATCTATAAGAAATTGTCTTTCTATACACCTTACCATAAGTAATTCCGTAAATGGTATTTGAAGTGGAAATTATCTGTCTGATGTCACCTTGACCTTTTCGGCATTGCAGACTATGTTTAAACATCTGAGCAGTTTTTTGTTCTCAACATACATTTGTGATAGTATATTCTGGGTACATTCTTTTCCTGTTGGGTTTACGTACAAAATGAGTCAATCTCATTAATCATGAATACGATTATAAGTGGAATAAGCAGTTTTTTTTTGCTTTGTTCTGAATAATTAATATGTAAAACTTTCTTTTTGCTGATATTTTAATAATGATATTCTCATGTGTTAATATCAAATTCCCCAGAAACACATCACAAGCTTGTTTCGCAGTTAATGTTCTTTATATATGTATTTTTTTTTCATTAAACTCTATGCTGAAACTTCTTAGAAGTTCGCAGAAAAATTAATAAGAGAAAGATTAAAGTAAGATTAAAGTAACTTTGTACCAGATCTCACAGGATAGGACACTGGGCAGTGGGAGTGACTACAACACAAAGAAAGGTAGCAATTTGCACCGATCTACTACAAGTGTACATTGAGAAGAGGGATTGATTACAACACAAAAAAAGGTAGCGATTTGCGCCCATCTCATACCAGTGGACATTGGAAAACGGGGTTGATCACAACACAAAGAAAGGTGGCAATTGCGCTGATCTCCTACAAGTGAGATCAAGAAAGGTAGCGCCTTATGCTAATCTCTCATGAACGGACATTAGAAAGTAGGCTTTATCACAATATTAGATAAGAAATCGATTTTTGCTGAGGACTCAAACATGAATAAACCAGTAGAAGTTGGAATTTAATGCGTAGACCTATGCATATATAAATCCCATCACTTCTGTAACTGTACTTCAATGTATCAGAAAGAAGTTTCCGCCATCTTGAGAACCGTTCCTCTTTTGCCGTGAACATGAATTTACCGAAAGAGGAAAACTATATTCTCACTGGCAGCCCCGGGCAGTTATTAAAACTATTTCAGTGGTCTGCATCTTGTCCAAGATAGCTAGCGAATATAAGCAATTAATCAATTCAGGTGCCACTTTCAAGGTAACACAGGTTTGGGTTCCTGTGGACATGAATATAGAGGTGGAGTGAGTATGCTGACAAAGTAGTGAGACATAATATCTACTCGATACAATCCTGCTCCTCCTAATTACAAAAGAAAATGTACATATGATCACAATTTGCTATCCGTTAACAGGAATTAGTTTAATATTTCTGCAGTAGGCAGATGAAAAGTGACTTTGCTTTTCTGACTGGAATAGGTGATTTTTTATATCTGCTTAAAAAGTCTTAAGTAGAATTTAAGAATTTAATAGATAGTCAATCAGTGATAGTTTAAACAAAATATTTTATTGCAATGGATGTAATATATTATAATCACAATTCATATATTATTTTAACTTAATCTACAGTAATAAATTAGTGAATACTACTTAATAACATAGAACGGAAGCTATACAATACGTACCCAGTATACATAACAAAAGACTGCGGAAGATATACAATAAAAACTCAATATATATTACAGAAAAGTATAAAGGCATACAATAAATATCCCGTATTTACTATATTAACTTAATAATATTAATAAATACAATACACTACTAAAGAGTATGAAAGATATTCAAATATGACAAGTATGTACAACTAAGCAGTATGGGAGATGTATAGTAAAAACCCAGTGTATACTACTAAAGAGTTTGGGCACATACAAATAAACACCCAGTATATACCACCAAAGAGTACGGGCGATTTATAGTAACCATTCAGTACATAATATCAATGATAAAGACCCAGTATACTACTTAATACTACTTAAGATTGCTGGAGCTATACAAGTACATCTAGTATATATAACTAAACAGTACGAGAGATGTAGAACAAAATCTTTTCATATACTACAGGAAAGTATGGTAGGTATATAATATACACCCGGTATCAGTGGCGGAGTTCGACCAACTCTGGACTGTGGTGACTTCTGAATTGCGAGTCCCCTTTTATTACCTAATTATAAAAGTAAATAATTTACATTCACTAACACGACGAAGCATATATGAAAGTTTTATTGCTAATCAATTTAAAATAAATGAATTTTTCTACTTTTAGTCTTACTCATTTTCCTTAAAATTCGCTATTAATAAAAATTAAAATTAATAGAAATAGAAATAGTCTATATTGGCTCATCGTACTTCTCAAGTAGGTCCTAATCAATTTTCACTTGAGAAGTTTCTTTTAGCAGAAGCTACACTGACTGCAACTGTGAGCATGATACTGTGCACTATTTAAGCATTGGAATATACTTTCTCTAAATAATTTTCTTTAATATTCCGGATGAGTTGCTTTATATCATTGATTGAGTCTAGTGAGTTCGATTTTAAAAGGAGCAGTTCCTCATAAAGTCCAATAAACCGAATTGTACCTAAAGCATTACAATGCTTAAGAATGTCTTCGTTTGGTATACTTTTCATATGATTAATGTCTTATATCAAACCAAATTGTTTAAAATATCCATTAAGTGCTGTAAATTGACAGTCGGTACCTATTTGCAAGGCCTCTGTGCACGAGGACGCATAGCCACCACTGCTCGATATATACCACTAAACAGTACAGGAGGTATACACCCAGTATATACTACTAAGAATCCTAGTAGTCAATAAAAGCAGTATGTGCTACGAAACAGTATGGGAGTAATATAGTAAATATCTAGAATATGTTATAAAAAAGTGCGGGAGTATAAAATAAACACCCAGTATATACTACGGGAAGTATATAATTAACGGCAGTTATACACAATTAGAGAGTACAGATAACTCTAGCAGATATACAATAAACACTCAGTATATACTACTAATTAGTACTGAAGATTTGTCATAAACACCCAATATTTATCATTAAACAATACTGGAGATATGTAGTAAGTATCCAGTAGACACTACTTGACAGTATGGGAGTTAAGTGCGGGAGTATAAAATAAACACCCAGTATATACGACTATAAAGAATGTCACGAAACTCATTAAAAATAAATACACTTGAATTTTTAGTGATAAATAAATAAATAAACTAGTTTACATATCTTGTTATTGTTATTTTTGCACAATAAATAGTTTATAAATAATGATGGCTTATATTATTATTGTTAATGTTGTATTTTATTTATTAAAAAAAATAAAAATAAACAAATTGTTGTTGCTTTGAAAAATGCTGATAGTTTTGTTTTGATCTTTATTAGTTTTCAATTTCTGTTTTGTTTTGTTTTATTTCTCTTGCTCTTGCTCTTCTTCTTCATATGTTTTTCATATGTGCTACGAGTAAATATGAAGACTTCATTTTCTTAACACTTCACTATTTCTTTCTCATTTCTTTCATTTTGCCAATTTAGGTATGAGTATCATTTATAACTACGTACGTACGTATGGTAGTATTACTTTTGCAAATGAAAGCAATAACAACAAATAAGCAAAATAAGCAAGCAACAGTGCCGTAAAAAGAATATTCATAAGCTGCTGAACTGTTAACGTGGTTATTTTTGCTGTCATTGACGTTTTTGTTGTTGTTAAGCTGTTGTGGTTTGGTTGTGTTGTTGTATTTTTATTGCTTTTTATCGTGTTCTTTGTTTATTCTTGCCGTTTAGCTTGTTGCTGTAGTTTGATTAAAACCGTTGTGTTATGTGTGTTGTGTGTTATTTTCTGCCAATATGGCTTGCAAACATTTTTTAAATTTTAGTTAATATTATTAATAAGAGTAGCTTCTTGGCGTGCGGTTCGTCGTGGTATAGAATATATAGGCATATAAGCGTAAAGGCATATAAAAAGTCAATAAGTGCGTTGTGCTCATTAGTTACTACTACTACTGTTGTTGTTGTTGTTGTTATGAACTTTTTAAATTGTTACGAATTGTTGTTGTAAGCGAGTGCGTCGGTGCTGCTACCGCGTGTATTTACATTATTACTTTGACTTTTCCGTTATAATTTTAACTACATACGCTGTTACATTGCTCCATCGCTGCCGCTGCCGCTGCCTTTGCCATTGCCATTGCTCTTGTTTTTGTTGTTATTTGTGTTAGTAGAGTTCTGCTGTTTCTGGTGTATTTTAGAATTATATTTATTTTTATTTAACAAACTGAAGTGCAAATTATTGTTGTGTGTGAAATTTTTTATGCATAAAAATATATATTATTTATTTATGCAAATGTTTATAAAAAAGTGGAACGTTGCAGTTTCTTGAATAAATAGTATTTCTTTCATTTCTCGATAGCAAGTTTAACAATCGTGTTTGTTCACAAAAATAAATATTAATTTAAATTTCTTTTTGTTTTTGTCTTAAATTCTTATATTCATACGTAATTAGTGAATATATATTTTTTTTATTGTATCACAAATATTTAATCTAAAATTTATTTAAAAAAAATTGCTAAATTCTCATCAGTAAAACTACGAAATACTTGAAAATAAGTTAACTTGACCTACAATAGTTTTTAAACCGAAAAAAAAGTACAAAAGTGTAACATGACTTAAAAAAAAAAAAAAAATTAATAAATAAATAAATAAAAAATTTACCAAAACATAATACGTAAAAGTCGCACAGATCAAAAAAACAAAAAAAAGAGGAAAAAATTATTGTCCAAAATGCATGAAAATTGACAAAAAAAAATGTTTTATATTTTAATAATATGAAAAAAAATACATTTGTGTGTAAAAAAAAAAATTAAAAATAATATATATGAATATAATATAATAATTTATTAGCGCGCTAATTGGTCA